CAGAATGCAGGCCTGATGTAGTAGTACTTAGTACTTCCAGCAGATTTTATGACCTTATGACAAAGGAAATGATATTATTTTAAACGGTGTTTCGTCTAGGTGTGCACTTTGTAGTATTATGGGTTTGAAAAATAGTAAATACACAAAAAGAGCTGCGCAATTGTTGACAAAAAAAATTGCGCAATTAAAAAAAAACAGAATCTCATTTTTTACTAAATGGGGGTTATTAGTAACTTACAAGTTATTACACCGTGTTTAATATGTCACAGGTACATCATTAAAAAAATAAAAAAATAAAAAAATTGTATGCCTTATGTCGAACAAATTGAGACAATTACTGAACTGTGTGGGTGTCGGAATTTTACATGGACAGATTTTTGAGATTTTCTCTTGTTCATTACAGGGGTGTGGCTCAACCCGAGGGTTGAAGGTTGAGGCCGCAACCCCCTGCTTACTTTCTTCATTAATATACAGCCTTGGGCACTGCGCCAGATTATAATAAAATCCCAAGTCCAAAGGCGTTTAGGGAAAAAAAAAAAAAGGCAATCACTACTCTGCTTGCTTAAAGTTGTGCATAACATAACATATAACAAAGTCACTCACAAAAATAGAATAATTAAATTAGGGAAAAGCTTTTTTTTTTTTTTTTTTTTTTTTTGACAGAAATAAATTAGGGAAAAACTTCTACGGCACGGTCAGGGTTCTGGTATGAAAATGCATTAGAAACAGCTTTTCGGAGAAGCCCGCCTTCCGACGAAGCGGGTAGCCGGCGCCGTAGCGCTCTGCTCCCGTGATGCGAGCGGCACGATCTTAGGGTTTAGCCATAGCCGCGCGGAGGTCAACCACCATGGCCCGGAGCGCGCAGTACGGGGAAGGGGGGTCTTGAAGCGGTCGAGCTACACAGGTTAGCTCGAGCAACAGAGACGCGAGCTTGTCCAGGGCTGAGAGGAGGGAGTGGGCTGGCCCTCTGAGGAGGGGAGGGAGGCAGGCAGCATGATGTTCTCAAACAAGAGCTGTGGCGCAGAATGACAGACAGGTGGCAGCATTCAAGACGGCGAAATCACGAGCAAGTCGAACATTTCCGAGCCGAAGAACTCTGAAAGCATCCTTCCCATGGAACACTTTGAAATGCAATGAGAGAAGAGCGAGATAACATACAAGATCGCAAAAGGAGGAGCTTCAAAGGAACAATACTCAACTCTGTGGGAGC